CCTAATTGAGGGTAGGAGGAGGGTCTAGGTCCAGTGTTCACAGAAAGCATGAGTTCGGTAGACCGTGGCCTCTGCGTATACCGAGTAATTTGGCGACTTTCAGTGTTGCAATCCCTCTTCCTAGGTGAGCTCAGGGACGGGACCTTACTGACGTGTCTAGTATCCTGACAGTGTCAGAGGGTGAGGAGTTTTTGAAAGTTATCCCAACATAAATTGCCAATAGTAAGCCATGTTTGGAAGTCGGTACTTAGAAGCATGTGTTTCAAGGCCCCGGCGAATCTTTTTTCCAAAGCTTTGGTCCCCATGCTTCTGAAAGGGAAGTACCTCTCTAATAATCCACGTAAAGCCGCTACGTATCCACAGCATCAATCTTTGCAAAGCTCATGTGCGATTTAAGGCAGATGCTTCTGTGCAGTGATCCCGAGCGGACATCCCGACAGGAGAATGCAGATCTTCACTCTCCGAACGAATTGTTTTCTCACTCAGCAAAATCGTACCAAGACACCGCAGACCCTGATCCCTAACCGGCTCTCACCCAGCCCCAGCAAGACCAGCCCAAGGACTCTACCTAAGATAGCCCCACAGAGTCCCTGGCCCAAAAGAAGGAGACAACAATTTTCAGAATCACACAACCTCACGTTTGGTTCTCCCCACCCAGTCCCAGCCAGCACAACTTGAATACCTCCAAGATATTCCTTCTCTACAGTTAGTACTTCGGTGGGGGAGAGCCCAAAGTATCAGGCCGGTGTTGTTGGATCCTTGTGGTGTACCTTCTGCCTTGTGCTCAGCTTCTTGCAGGGCTGTTCCAGTACCTACATGCTTGGGGGACTGAGTAAGTAGACGTACTTCCTCTTTAATCTGCTTATAAGCACCGCTGAATACTAGCCTGCTTACTAAGTTCTCCCCGGCATCCAGGCAGCGTGTCAAAAGAGCTTAGGAGGGGAGCTTGCTTTCACTAGCCTATTACATGGCCAGGGGTCTCTTTGCTCCATACCTTTTCCAGACCCTCCGGATCATGGTTTTGCGCCCGCGATCCGGACCCTTTGTTCCGCGCATGATGAGATTGTGGTATGAGTTCGTTCCATACCCCGTTTTACGCCGGTTCCAGAGCACGGACTGGCCATGCTCACACGCTTTCCAGGCTTCCAGAAGGTTCGGATCTGAAATGAAGATGCGGGATCCCAAACGTCCACCCTTTCGTATAAACACTCATACAGTCTGCAATTTGGATCCCCATAGTTCTTTTAGACTCCCGATGTATCCTCTGAGGTCTCCAAAAATAGTCGTAGCTATGATTGTTTAGACATTTGTGCTGTCCAGTGCAGGCTGCAAACCTGTGTCCGGAGCCAAGTCAAGAGCCACATGCTGTGGAGTTCCGAGCAGGAAACGGACAAGCAGTATGAGTGATACGGTTGATTTTGAAAACGGAATGACCCTAGGTAATTTGAGGACTGGTAAGTAAGATATACTGCGGGCATGCAGCATTTTTAACTAGTATGTCGTAGTTGCGGTCGCAGTATTCCAGATAAAGAAGAGGAACTGCAGAAGTTCCAATGATGATACATTGTGCGTCGTGATTCGCATGCCTGAGCCTGCAAGCTGTTTGCTGAGTCTCCCTAAACCCTAAACCCCCAGGGTCCAGAGTTACAGCGCCTAATTGCTTTTGTCGGGTTGTATAGCGTATTTCGTGGGTACAGACTGTTGATCCGAGAGATAATAGTAGATAATAGTAGTGGTAATAATAAGAGTAATAAAAATAGCAATAATGGAATTGTTAGTGTCAACTCTCAGGATCCCCACATTGGGAGGCCGAGCAAGCAGTCTAGTTTGCCAACTTTACTTGGAGGTTCATGGGTGGTTCTCAGCAGGAATATGTAGGCGAATTGGAGTCTGGGCAGGGTACCGAAACTTCCTGGACCCCATACAACAGCTTTTAACTTCTAACACACCTAAACCCTAAACGTCAGACCCCAAGCCTTAAGAACTTCCAAGTAGCCTGAGGAAGGTTAGGATTTTATGACCATAATAGGGATATTAACCCAAGGAATCAAAGAGCACTTACCCTCCTAGGGCTCCTATTAGAGTGCTCTTTGATTCTGTTTAACCTAGCCCAAAAATCCTGACCTGGCCTGAGGAAGGTACTTCAAAATCATTTGGACCGGACCTCTGCGGAGGCCGGTAGCTGCACTTGCTGGAACTTCGTTAGTTAGCTGTTTTGAGTGTTGCAGTAAGTTTGGGTGAGTCAGTCTTGGCTTAGGGCTTACGATTTAGGGCTTAGGGATTCGGATTTTAGGATTTTTGGTTTGTCTTCAGGATTGAGGGCTCAAGGACGCAGTAAGTAGGTTAAGAATTGGCGCGTTGGAGGCATTGATTGGGCTTACATTGGAAAAGAAGTCTACCTACTAAGTCCCTCCAGCATATAGACTTGCTTGTTTCTGAGGTCCTTGGGTGGTTGCACATGGGCTACTGACTGGACCGCTCAGGCTGAAGTGCTATTCTTTTCCTACTTCTAGCCATTCGTGAAAGAAACAGGAACCTCAAGACAAACATGTGATAGTTTCTCAAGGTGATCCCTATGTCATCCCTACAGGATCCCTACAGGATTTCTCTTTTAGTCCTGTTTTGAGAAACCTCCATTCTCTGCACAGGCGCAAGGGCACATTAAGGCGAAAGCCGCCTGCCACGCCATTGCGGACAAACTCAGATCAGGAGGCAGAATCCTCTTTGTACTGGGTAGGCTCCTGGGATATTTAATATTTTCCCTAATGGCTTTAATCAGGGACCCTATATACTTACATTCTTCAATGGGTTCTAGGGGCCAACCTAGTGTAGGTCTGTAGGTCTTAGGCCGTAGGACTTAGGGTTGAATTGAATCCCCAAGGGCTTAGGGGTTTAGGTTTTGGTGCCTAGGGCTTAGGATGTAGGGTTTCTGCGTTTGTGCTCTAGGGAGGTGTAGAATCATAGTTGAAGGGCCAGGGGTTAGGGTTTAGGGTTGAGGGTTTAGTAAGTAGGGTTATTACTTGCCTTATGGGGGCTCTATGTACACTTACTGAGTCCCCCTGAATCTCCGATCTCTGATATTCCAGAATAACAAAAACAATCATACCACAGACACGAATCATAACGCGGTCACACTGGAGCTATGGTCTTCTTAAAGGTATATGTGAACTGTTATTGAGGTTGGGCATTAGCATTGCTGTTATTATTCCAAACTGTCGAAAGTGTTCCGGTGATTAGTTGCTCTTCTGACCAATCCGCAAGCCTGTTAGAGCCTATCAGTTGGCCACTGCCCCTTTGTTCGGCTCACTTGGTACTGCGCCCACTTCCATTTTGGCTATTCGTTGATTGAACTATATACTAGTTTCAAGGGACAGGGTACCTTAACCCGGACCCAATATTGAGACTATACTATGACTATATTATGTCAAATGAAGCTAGAAAACACCTTTTAACAGTCCCAAAAAGGCTACTTGTAGTAATGTTCTGCCCTTCATGAGCGTGCAATATGTCAGGTTTCCATAAATAGCGGGCCCCATACCCTCAAAACAGGGACTCCCCCAAAACGGGTCTCCAGCTGCCTAAAACTTTTGGAAGCCCTCATCTATGGCTGTCATAGGGTGTGTGCGGTGGTGCTCACAAGAACAGTAGTTTCTATTATCTTTTCCAGTCTTAACCCCAAAACCCTATATTCCCAGTGCCAATGTCATTTTACATGTGAATTTTCCGCTATTCCCCAAACCCCAGACAGTTGTGAGGTTGGCAGCTACGTCGCGAAGGTCTGCAGATCGTGAGGCATCGCCTTCTGGCCGCAATTGTCGTGCGGAGGGGTATGGGCTCTCTACAAGTAAGGGGTTCCTGGGGGAGCTGACTAAGAAGGTTTTTTTTTTGTGTTTTGGGGTATCTTTGGGATTTGTGGAAGACCCATGTCGCCAAGCTCAGCAAGCCGCTCATGCTCGGCTCAGGTTTTTATTGTGGTCTCTGCAATGCGTCGGGAAGATGGACGCACATCTGGAATCATCGCGACAGCTCTGCTCATCAGCAAGCGTACGCCCTGCTATCTTTGCATTGCATCTGCTCCGCATGGGGGATGTATGAAGATGAGTGTGCTGTGGGGACCCGAGGCGGAGAAGGGGTCCCCCTTATTTCATCCAATAGAGAGGACTGCCGCATAGCCTCCGCAAAACGAAGGTGGAAACTGAAAGGGGGTGGCTACAAGAATACTGTCCATAAAGGTCCTGTATCACTTTCTAGGTTTGTTTGGGGCTGTGCGTGCATGCGGGTCCTGTACAAAAGTCTGTCAGTGTCAGCCGAATGCCATTTTTCGACAGAGTCTGTGAGAGGTACAAAGCATTTGAAACGAGCGGCTCAGCTGCTGCTCTCCAAGCACACCATAACCATGATCAGTTCAAGGAGGCAAGCTCGCTTCACTTTGGGCATCTGCACTGAGAATAGCTGCTTGCGAGAGGCAGAGGAGAAAGCCTGGCAAGCTGCATTCGATGCTCGTCGCAATGCAGTGATGTAGGCCAGATCTTGGTTGCATCATTCAGGGGTTGAGGGTTATATTGGGGTAATGGAAAAGAAAATGGAAACTACCATAATATTGGGGCCATATTTGGATAATGGAAAGAAAATGGTTGGGGTTATATTGTGATAATGGAAAAGAAAATGGAAACTATTCACGATTCATTTCTTCAGCTTATCATGGCATGTGATGTGAATTCCTGGCTGCAGGGTTCAATCTGGCGCGCTTCTTGATGTGCCTTGCCAAAGGCAGGGCTATATCCGGGTCCGCGACCGAAAAAGCTGGCCTTTGGTTAGCTAGGAATGAAGGAAGGAATCCTCATAGTAGTCCCTAAACAGCCAATTATAGTAGTTTCCATTTTCTGCTCCATTCCTTCGTTCCCAGCTAGCCGAAGGCCAGAAAATGCTGGCCTTCTTGGACTGCTGCTGTAGATCTTGGTTTGATGACCTCTTTTCGCTCGTCATGAAATGTGGGCTCAAGTACCTTGTCATGAATTCGTAGATATCCCCATGCCTATAACTCAAAACCTCCAAACTGCTAGTAGCTTCCATTTTCTTTTTTCATTTACTGAAAATGTGGTCCCTATAATCCTTAAAATGCTATAGTTAGTTATTTGTTTTGGGGGAGTATCTTACCGGTCTGCATGGTCCAGCACTTCCAGCTGCTGACTTCGCGCACAGCCTCCCTTGACTTGGTGCAGCATACTGGCCTGCTTCGCAAGCTTTCAAAGGCAGACAGGTGGGAGCTTCTCAACACTTTAGGGTTTAGGGCTTAAGGTTTAGGGCTTAGGGTTTAGGGTTTAGGGCTGAGGGTTTAGGGTTTAGGGTTTAGGGGATTCCCAAAGTTGGAGGTACCATTTGGAGGGGTCCCTATCATCAGAAGTTAATTCTATTGGGGTCTGCCTTGGGGTCCGCCTATGTATGGAAGCCATGCGAATAAGCATATTCTGCATTTGCATGACTCTAATATAGGCGCCTCAATCATTAGCAATTTTATGGTTCCATATTCCTTATATAACTATGGTCTATGGTACCTCAAATGGACCTCAATAATTGACATTTTGTAACACTACTGTGTCTTCTCGCCTTGCCTGCCTATACTAGATTAAATGCTTGTAACTAGCTTTCCGACGAGTGTAACATACACTCCGTTTCACTTTGATCGCAAATGACTCATGTCCTCATCAAGCTCAAATGGACCTCAAAATGACATTGGTAATTTTTAGGCCCCTGTAGTAGGTCAAGAGCGCCCATTTTTTGCAAACCTCGAACCCTACACCCTAAAACTCTAAACCCTAAACCATGTGCAGACATGAAAAGTCCGAGGGGCAAAAACACCGTAAACCCTTAGGTGGCGCGATGCCTGGCGCGCACAAGCTCGCCTGTCAAGCAGACGGATCAGGGCTGATCAGAAACTGGGTTGCTGTTAAGGAACTCAAAGTAAGTTACTAGAATGAACAGTCATTAAGATAGTTCCCCTAATATAGTAGCTTAGGTTAAGTTCCTTAAATCCCTATATTCCCCCCGTTTCCGTTTCGTTTTCCATTTTCATTTCCTAGGAGGATGATACCCTAAACCCTAGACTCTATAATGGGAAATAGGGGGTGCAGAAAACTGTATTATACCCAACATAGTGACTTAAATTTAGTTCCTCAGCAGCAAAACCCAGGATGAGTTGCACCTCCGTCTTGAATAGCCTGCGGAAGCCTGGGAATTGGGAGCTGGCATTCGTTTTCTGCGCAGGGCTTGGCCAGGCACTGCTGAAGGTGAACCAGATACTGGGTTGCTGTTAAGGAACTTAAGTTAAGTCACTATATTAGGGGGGGTTAGGGATGAAGGTTTATAATATGAGGGTGTAGGGTTCAGGGTTTGCGGTTTTTAGGGGATAGAGTTTGGGCTTTGTACGATAGTAGGGGAACCATCTTACTTACTATATATACACCCATTATAGTGGCTTGTGGGGGTTCCTTAACAGCATCTCAGGATAATGCAGAATGCTTTGATAAGCACCTGCACCAGCCTCAGCCAATGGCAATCTGCACTTACCGCGCTAGCTTCAATGGCCTTAGTGAGCACTCACTGGGACATCATTAGCTTCAATACAGCAGCTTGCCAGCATAATTTAGGCTTTCGGGTTTAGGGCTGTCCCGACATCTTCCACCCTAAGCCCTTGTGAACCATAAACCCCTAAACTTATAAACCACAAGCCCAGCGTGAATGTAGCCACCTTAAACCCTAAACCACTAAGCTCATCAACCCTAAACCCTAAACCCTAAACCAATTCCCCTGTTAATTTAGCCGCCCCAGGTGCTGGCTGCATGCGCCACGGACCGCATGAGTGCCTGGCAGGCCGGCGCTAGACTTTTGGCACAAATGAAGAGCCTCGGTCATTCAAAAGCTGGGTTGTGGTTCGGTATATACTCTATAGACCCCCTTAAGTAGATAGAATATGGGGTATGTGGGGATCTTATTATAATATACCCCAAAGCCATATTCTATCTACTTAAGGGGGACTGTATACTCAAGATGTTTTGAGAAATCCAGGAACCGCATCCTGAAAGGGAATCAGTTTGAAGGGTCTTCTATATCATGTGTTATGAGAACTCGATGGGGGAGTGTGTCAGCATGATCTGTATACTAGTGGGGCTGACAGGGGTCCTTCACTATCTGCCTATCATCCTCAGATACCCCTAGCATCTCTTAAGGTATGCCCCTCCTCATGTTGAGAGACTCACATGTAGCATTACCCATGCAATCAAGAGCGGACTTTTAAGACCCTACGTTGATCCACCCTAAACCCTAAACCCCTAAACCCTAAACCCTAGGAACGTGGGCTTGTGCCTGGACACGATCAGCCTCAGGCTCAGGTGCTGTGCAGTTGGGAGATCATCTGGGTAGGCCCCTGGGAATAATGGAAAAGAAAATGGAAACTACAGGGTTTAGGGTTTAGGGTATATATTGGGATAATGGAAAATAAAATGGAAGCTACTATAGTATATTTTTTAGGGCTTAGGGTTTGGGGTACTGGGTAGGCCCCTGGGATATTTAAAATATTTTCCTTAATGGCTAGAATAAGGGACCCTATATACTGACATTTTTCAATGGGTTTCAGGGGCCAATCATCTAGAGGCTTATACCTTCCTCGCGGGATCTTCAAAACCTTTTTTTTGTGGGTGTGTAAGCTTCAGGAAGTATGCTACAGGAGGCTATTGAAAACGGAAGAGCTAGACAATCCTTGTAATCCACTGGTAATTATGTAGTTCGACAAGAGCTCAACATGATTTTCTTGGGTTCCGGATGAGGTCGAAGCTCTGCAATTGATGCTTGTGCCTGCAACTTGAAGGTGATTAGTAGGGGTTGAATGGATAGATCACAGAGTAGTCCCTGTCTATGTTCGCTTATGGTGTCGTTCCATAACAATCCATATGCCGAATTTCATTATAGCCTGAAGCCTCACGCCCTAAACAGGCTATCAGGTTCCATTATCTTTCTCCATTCCTTCAATCCCTCCTATCCACCAGTAAGGCAATGGCCTCTGGCTTTCAGCCCTAGACCTCCAGGAGGACATGGTGAATTCAGGTGTGGAGACCAATGCCATAACCTGGAATCTTGCGGGCACACAGTATGTTGGGTGCTTCCATTTCCTTTTTCATTATCCCTATATAGCCCTGTATTCCCCTATATTATCCCAACAGAACCCCAATATACTAAACCCTATAGTTTATGGAGAAGACGACGAAAACTACTATAAGATGTAGTCTGTAGGGCTGGTGTGGCATCAGGAAATGACGATGTGCTGCGATGTAGGGAAGGGACCAAACCCTAAACCCCAAACCGTAAACCCCAAACCCTAGACCCCTAAGCCCTAAACCTTAAGCCCTATAAACCCTAAACCCCTGAACCCAAACCCTAAACCCTAAACCACTAGATGCAGGAATCCATCCTTCTTCCATTTTCTGCCAACTATCAGTAAGGAATTCGTGCATCCGCTCCAGTGAGAAGGATGGCGAGTGGAGCATGATGCTAAAACAGGTGGGGGTCAAAAGGATCCCATTTGGCCATATGAGCTAGTGTGAATTGAGGTTTTAAGGTTAAGGGTTTAGGTTACCAAGAGACCATTAGCAATGGACATAGGAGGCCCCTCTTGTAGTTTAGTTTTGTCCCGAATCTATTCCCTATAGGGAAACCATGCCCATGAGTTAGATGGGAAATATTCACCACGCCATAATACACCATATGATCCCAATTTCCATTTGATTTTTCATTTTTCCATGGGATTCTCCATTATTTCCAACCATAATCATACTTCAGCTGTAGCTCATACAATCCGTCGTGAAGGCAGGCTCCTGGAATCTCCTTGTGGTTATACCTACGAACGGGCTGTGAAAACTAGGGTTTAAGGTATGGGGATGGGTTGTGCAAACCCTAAACCCTAAACCGCGTGGTCCGTTTTTGGGGGATCCTTAAAGATGGGGTTACAGTCAACTACCGGCAAATAAGGGACGATGATTTCTTGGAAGCTACCATAGGGCAGTTTTCCAAAATAAGGGGACCCCAATATAGACCCTAACATTCTATAATCCTTATGATAGGGACCCCAAAAAAGGTACCCCTAATTTTGGGAAGCCCCAAACCCTAAATAGTAGTTTCCATTTTCTTTTCCATTACCTCTATATAACGCTTATATTGCCCTTATAAGCCCCTTTAAAAAGCTCTGAAGGTTGGAGGCATGGAGAAGTTGGGTCTCCAGATATCACCCACCACGTTCACTCCAGCCGCTTTCTGCTGGATAGTGGCTTTCGGATTTAGGGTTTAGGGTTTAGAGTGCTGGAAG